GGCGTTGGGAACCAATCAAGTTACAGCCATGCACAAAACCTTTTTTTCCGAATACAGTACTTTGGGGGGAAAAAAAAACTTGATGCACTGAAGCCGCGCTAAACGAACCGCGATAGAGCGAGGGATCACTGTATATGATGAAGATATACATTTGAATGAATCTTTATGGAAATAATACAGCCCTAAATTTGTTCTTTTAGAATGTGTATTTGATTTCCGGGGCTCTACTGCAGCTACGTTTTGGTCGCGCGTGAAAAGACCGCAAGTGACTCTTGATGGCATTGGAGTTGGTGGATTTAGCAGAGGGTTTGCTTCTCGGACTTGCAGTCTTTCTGCCAAACCTTGGCTTTTTTACACACTCTACTTCCAGGCTTTTAGAACCATACCTATTTTCGGGGTCGTCGTCATCCCCAGCTGCCCAAGTGGGCCTGGCTCGATCCTCACCACCTGCAAAATAAAAAATTAGTAAGACACAATAACGAATGTGAGAGTGACTGCTTGTGTGTCCATGTGTCCGGCGATTGGCTCATGACTAGTCCAGGGCGTGCCCTGCCTCCCGCCCAAAGTCAGCGAGGATACGTTCCAGCACACCCACGAGCCGAGTGAGAATAAGTGGCGTTAGAAGAGGGACTGAGAGATGCATCCTGTAATTTGTTTTCAGCAACCTGAGCTAAAGCACTGCATAAAGGGTATGCTAATGTTAGCATCAATACTAGTTGTCTATCCTATAAACGTACAGACCCAGCAGTGGTATTTCTTACCCATATCATATCGTTTCAGCACAATTATATCCCTGACCAATTATGTACAAAGACTATCAAGTTTTGCCAATGATGAGTGGAACCGTGGAGTGGAAAAGGGGCACTACCATTGTCAGACTTACCAGACGATTGATGGAAAGCTGCTGGTCCCAGTAATGCCGCATCTTCTGTGATTTCTTTCATCTTATGATTGTCGGCAGAGTCATCGTCATGGTCGTCCTCGCTTGATGACGATGTGGTCTCCATTACTTCCTGGGGAGCATGAGTCTTGTGCTTTCTGGCCTCCGCTATAGCCTGCTGTCGAGTAAACCCTTCCGTGTCGCTCTTGACAAGTTGAGATTTGCCGGTAGACCTCAAGGTCTTCAGGTGCTGCATTGGAGTCGTCGGTTCTTGATGGTCACTGGAGGAAGCGGTCCCCCTTTCCCATCGAGTCTTAACGGCAACAGGCTCAGACTCGGGCGAACGGTCCAGCAGCATACGTTTGCGGCGAATCCTCTCTGGCGAAATCGGGGTGTTCTTGGTGAGCCAGAAGAGACGCTTCTTGCCCAATTTGCCAGACGCTAGACTGCCATCATTATCATTGTCGCTGTGGTGCTCATCGGAGCTTTGAATCATAGCTACTCGCTCAAGAAGCACCGCGGGTATTTCATCTGAGTCAGAGTCATCTCGGGTCTGGCTTGGACTTTGTTCTTCCGAGAATTGGGCGGCCGTTGAACTCTGCCGTGCCTCGGGGTCCGACTCGCTCTCGCTGTCTGCTGTGGAGAGAGACTGTTTACCCTTGACATCGCTGGGACGACGCAATGGTGTCGTCTTCACACGGGGAGACCTCCGACTGCCGCGCTCCTCTTCGAGGTGGAGTGACGTGCTCGGGTGGTCAACGCTTATTTTACTCTCAGCAACAACCATTTCTTCATTTCCGTGCGCATCTTTTCCATGAAACATCTCTTCCGCTGTGTCTTTCGGAAGAAGCTGTGCATCTGAGCAGGGCTCCGGTGTCACAGGCATTGGTGTAAGTTTGACAACTAGCTTTCTGGTCATGTTGAGACTACTTTGAGGAAATTGTGGGTCCACTGTCTGCAGAGTCTGTCCAGCATTGGGTAAAGGCGAGTTCACGCCTTCACTTGTGCTTACAACATCAGCGAGGACTCCCTTTTCCACATATTCATCTGACGGCTTCGGCAACGTATGTACGTTTAAATCGCTGGAGATCTTCGGGTCCGCTTCGATGGTAGGTTGGGGCACAAAGTCATTGCTAAGTAACTCCTCCCAACAGCTGGAGACGTCCAAGTCGCTGAACTCTTCTTTAAGGCTTTCCTCGAGTGCCGCAAGTGACAATCGGATGGATTTCACCACTGTCAAATATGACTTCAAGTAGAGGCTTCGAACACCTTGTTTCGTCTTTGTCGCAGTATGAATGAAATAAATAAAGTTCGTGTTTACCTTGTTTGTAGAGTCCACTAAATGTTTGACCTTTGCAGTCATATCCTTGGAGACATTTAAAGTGTTGTAGTTGAACACAACACTACTATCCATGCCGTTGTGATCCCAGTTAGCAAAGGGAAGGATTTGCGGTTGAGGCAGCATGCCATAAAGCTCGGATTTCCCCGTCTCGGCTCGGTTTCTTTTGCGGTGCTGTTGCCACAGATCCTCCATGTTCTCCAGCACGCTGTCACAGGCCATCACCAGGCCAAAAAGGGGCTCAGGGTTACACACATAGCAGTACCATTTGCTCTCCAAGATACCAGAGAGTTCCTTTCGTCCCAAATTTCTCAGAATGCACTTCTTGCAAAAGGCATTGCTGCAGAAATCACAGCAGATGAGGTTGCCCCCTTCTGCGCACCAACTGCATAAGAGGGCAAAAAAGGGGACAGAGGGTAAATTTGAAACTTAACACCTAAAAATAAAAACTGCTTATTTTCCCGTTTGAATCTTACCGACACTGCTCATCCATCCCATCGCCATCTTTGCTGATGTCATCACTTGAGTAATATTTGTAGCATGACTGTCAAACCAAAACAGAGTGAAAAATGACAAAATATTGGACGAGAATAACCGAGCACCGGGGTTGTAAAAGGAAAATGCACTTGAATTCCATAAATCTGTCAAATCTGTTTATGTAAATATTTGATGATGAAAACTCATCCAAAAGACACAAGAGAATCCGTGCGGCCAAGCGGCTAACTCAAATTGCTTAGTAACATCAGGAATACTGACGCACAAGGTGAAATATGCAGAAATGCCCCCCCCCCTAAAAAAAAAAAAAAAAAACATAGAATATATTTCTGACTCACCTTGCAAATGAGTACTTTGAGAACTGGATGGCGAATAAGGGAGTCTCTCTGGAAGTGGTTAACCTGACGGCCACAGGCAGTGCAACTGACAATTTCCAAATGTTGGCCCCCTGTAGAACCCAACAATAATATTAGCTGCAAAGATGTGGTTTCATATGTGGTTGGCAGAAGAAAGAGCTTGTGTTGTTGTTGCGACATTTGTTGCAACTTTGTGTCCACCGGAACGTGACTGACCTCCTCGTCTCCTTGAAAATTCTTTCCGCAGCACGTTACTTTTCCGGCTGCGAAACTCCGGACCCCTGAAGTCATCTCTGCCATTATCGACTGGTTCAGGTCGGACAAGAACAGTGCCTGGACAAATCATGGCAATCAAGTCATTAAATTGTAACATTACAAAAGAAAGGACAAAACGTTTACATTTGTCTAACTGAATTTCCTCAGCACCGATGAGATAGACGGTGTTGTTGGATTTTACAGGGAGAACTGATAACAAACTGTATTGAATTGAAAACTTGTACAGAATAGTGTTTCAAAGTAATGTGGAAATAGATGCACCTTTAGGAAGGCAAGTGACATCTGGGTGGCCATTTGCACTGAAGGGGAAATCTACATTGTCGCTGTCGTTTGAGTCTGCAGATTCGTCCAAGCCAGAATGCTTTGTAACAACAGAAGGTTTTCTGAAATATTGAGGAAGCAGTTAACACCGAAAGCCAGTTTCTCTTCCATTTTGGTCATGTGCTGAGCATTTCGCATGTAGTTCTTCTCAACCTACCTTCTAGAGAGTTTTGTCTCCACAAGCGCCTACAAAAAAGCAAAGTGACACTTTTAAACTGCTGTGCAACAGTTTCGATACTAGCATGCTGATTGCAATAATAGTGGCCAGTAATTAGACAAATTCATTAATTTCACTCTATCAATCTAACCTATTCTATGCCCTCAGTTTGTCCATGAATATGTTGAGCACCACTTAGTGCTTGATTTGTTTAAGGGGGACATATTATGGAAATTTGACTTTTATATTGTTGGCATACAAAACCTTTGGTCTCTGGAGTGACTTCCCAACCATCAAATGTGAAATTGAACAGCAATGTAAACTTTTTAATCGGTGCCTTGTTGCAAAACTGAGTCAATTAGCAGTTTCTATGCCTATAACTTGCCCGCTATCATGGGTTAAGATCTGCCATTTTGAAATTTGTGTTTGGTGATGTATTTGCTGCATGCAGCACATTTACTGATCTGCACAAGAGGGATACGGCAGGAATTAGGTATTCTCATAAGATTCTGGAATGTTTGTGAAAAAGTTGATGACCCTAGTTGTCATTGTAACAAAAGTTGAACTCTGCATCGTATAAGTGGGCAGGTGGAGCAGTGGCTCACTTAGATCCACAAATCCCCCCTCCCCCCCAACAACAAATTATTTTTACTTGCGTCAAGAATGGATGGTGAATTGTAAATTGGCAAATTTCACCTTTCTGTATTTTGACCTTTTATTAGGACACCTGGGAACTGGTTATGCTTTAAAAAAAGGAGTTTTATATCTCCTTGGATACAATGGATGTGATTTCCCTGAACTGTTACCACTGCATGTTCCATTACCTCCATCATAGAGGCTGCTGAGTTTTCCACTGAACCATTCCTGATAGTTACATCTGCAAATGTAACATAAAATGTCAACAAGCATTCCAACCAATGTTACACAATATCAAAGGATGAATGGGTTGTGATTTCACCATCAGAGTCAGCTGATCCGTTGCTATCCTCATGCATAGAATGGGCCAGGTATTCGTGTAGCTTGTTGACCAATACATTCAGTTTGCTTGTTGTAGTACTGCACCCAAAAGATATGTGTTATACTGCCATCTGTTTGAATACTAAACACTCAAATATCTAGTCGTCAATAACAATATTAATGATCCAAAAAGAAAGAGGGTTGTACAGTAATTAAACTACAACCTAGGAGATAAAGATTTATAATCAGCAACGTGAGAAAGTAACACAGTTTGGTTGGGTCAAGAAGTTTCTGATTTATTAAACTACAACCTAGGATATAGATTTATAATCAGCAACGTGAGAAAGTAACACAGTTTGGTTGGGTCAAGAAGTTTCTGATTTATTAAACTACAACCTAGGATATAGATTTATAATCAGCAACGTGAGAAAGTAACACAGTTTGGTTGGGTCAAGAAGTTTCTGATTTATTAAACTACAACCTAGGATATAGATTTATAATCAGCAACGTGAGAAAGTAACACAGTTTGGTTGGGTCAAGAAGTTTCTGATTTATTAAACTACAACCTAGGATATAGATTTATAATCAGCAACGTGAGAAAGTAACACAGTTTGGTTGGGTCAAGAAGTTTCTGATTGTGACCATTGTATACACGTTTAGAGAAATAAGAGAAATGCGACAATACCACAAACACCACTTCTAATAACAAAGTAGCAATAATATAAAACAAGAAGAAATGTTTTTTGCGCATATTTTAAAAGAGGCACTAACTGCGCCAGAATTATTCGAAAACTTAAAAGGTTTATAGCTTCGTTCTGGCTGCTACATTGTAGCGAAGCTAGCATATCGATAGTCGCCATTCTTGCTACGATCGTTCGACGCAGTGGTTTCCCCGATTTACCTCAACATCGCTGCAACATTTGGAGCATTGTGTTTTGTCCTCACCTCATCTTTTAAGCATATCAACAATGAAGAGGTGCGCTTATTTGGAGGGCAGAATCATATAACAATAAAAGCAAAGAGCCCCTTTTTTTTTTCTCTTTCGTTCCCGAATGACGACTTTGCTTGTTGAAGGTTTTACTACTTTATCGCCCCCTGTTGGCTCGGAATAGAAGTCATAGGGTTGTTGAAATTAAAATTGTAGATGGAGGAACTATTGTTAGTCGCTGATAGGTTAGTGGTACATTCGCCTGACTTGTGTGGGGGCGGCGTGGACTTTTCCTAAATTGCAAGTAAACCTTAATTCAGAGGTCTCAGCTAGACGGCAACGAAAACAACAGAGGAACAAGCAGGGACAAATCTTAGGAGGAATGAGGGACGGAATGTTATGTAATATTTCAAGTGGAAATAAACTCAAACATGAGCAACACTTTGAGTTCACAACTGTCACATAAAGTGAATAATATTAGTATTGAAATTATACATACATACATTCATACGTGCACGTGTGAGACACCCACAATTTCATCATATAATATAGAAATATAGCTTAATAGAATGAGATAAATTCAACGGAGAAAAGAGAAAAAAGCCTGGTTTCCCAAATAAAGTAATTGACTATAGGCTGGAAACATTTCCTCTTGTTTTCATAGTTAAATAAAACAGTTTTCATAGTTAAAACATATTTCAAGATGAAACAATTTGAAATTTTAACAGGGGTGAAAAGATAAGAAACCCAAGGTTTTATTCTCTTGTCAAAATCATGTGGCTTTGAACATTTATTCAATAACCTTGATGTCCATTTTAAAGTCCATGATAGTAGTGTGTGCTTTGTCCTCGCTAGCAATTCAATGCATTTGTGCGATATTGACTAAATGTACTTTCACCAAAGTATCGCTTGGCTAGTACAAGACTGGTGGCGTTTTCGGGCATATGTGTGGCTATACAGACTTGCATGGCTGGGGTGTTGACAACCTGCCTCAAAGAGAAACAATTTGCTGTTTCCTATTATGGAATTATTGCCATTTGTACAGGGAACTCTCTTGTGGAGTTGCCCTCTGGAAAGATTTATAGTCTTTGAAAGTCAATGACAAAATGTCACAAAATGTATGAATAATGAAATAATGATGAGCTTGTGTCTTTATTTACAAAATGACTTCATGTTTGTTATACCTTCTGCTATCTTATGAAAGAGCATTTAATTGCTCTGTCATTCTACATCGATGGCCAAGTTAGATGTAGTTATTAAATACAATTTGGACAAAACTGGATTCTTTTCCCATGGCATCTGTGATAATCTCATTTGACCGTAGTGTGCCATGGCACGCAGGTTGGGAAGCACTGCTTGTTGAAATGATGCAGGGTGATGATCAGAAATAGATGAATGCAACAGTGGGTACAGATAAAATAAAAGGTCTTCAGAGACAATTTTTGCACAAAGGAAACTCAGGAGACAACACTTGAAAGATTTACCAATCTAATCCTTACGTAAACGCCATAGATGAGGGTTGGGACGTAGATCGACCGGTACCAATCTAATCCTTACGTAAAATAAAGCACACGGGGAAACAAAGTGAAAATATTGCAATTGGGTAAGTTTTCTTTTCATTTGTGCCACGCAAGATTCATGTTTTTTTTTAATAGTTCCCTTCATTTTATGGTGTTGCTTTAATATAATCATTCAATATGTTTTATGATTTTTTTTTAAATGTAACAATCTGTCACTTTTTACAGTTACTGCGATGCACTTTTAAAGTTACATAAACAACACGCAAGACACAAAAACAAGCAAATCAATAAATAACCAAGAGCAAAACAAGAAACATGGGACACTGAAAAAAAAAAGACAATTAAAAAATATCAAAGACATTGAGACGGAAGCATAGTTTCAATGTTTTGAGAGAGTTCTGGTTTAAACAATGAAGTCCACTTCAGTGTGTGTGTGGGGGGGGGGTGACGCCACGAACATGAAAGGACGTATACTGCGTTGTGACGTCATAGACTTTAAAGAGGTCAATATAAAGACATTTTACGTAGACAAAAGCTACAAAGTACCCATCAAAGACATATTTTGGGATAAGGCTACGTTGGGGTTTTCAGAATAACACTTCACTTCCCTACGCGACAAAGGTAAGGTAAGGTTTGATACGGATCGGTTAGCCTAGTTAATTTAGCACGAACCGCTGATCAAAAGCACGTCCACTGCGTTCTATTATAGAGAGCCTGCTGAGGGTTACGAGTATGTCGGCCTTTCCTGCAGCGAAAAAGAGCGAGTTGGTAAAAAGCCTCTCGCCGCCACAGCATCCTCCATTCACCAGCAGTCCGGCGGGCGGTGACGCCACTGCAGGGCGGGACAAGAATTCCAACTCCGGACTACTTCGCACTCGACGTGGAGAAGACCGCACTGCGAGCTGGACGCCGTCTGGAATTTCAGGCGAACCGAGAGTGAGTACCGATTTCCTGTCTTCTTGACTAGCCCGAGGTGCATTCGACTGAATGTACAATACGCCTTTCATGTGTTCATCTTCGTAGTCGCGTCCCGCCGAGGATCGCTGGATTAGTGTGAGTCAACAAGGATAGTTAGCCGTCTGTTAACGTGAATCTTGTCTGCTGGCAGTCGAGCATTTGCTGCTTTTTTTTTGTGTGTTTTTCTACTCCACTCTATTCATCCCACGTCTACAATTTACTCCCTACTCATCTATGCGCAAATGTTAGCCTTAAAGTTGTAATAAAAGTTTTACAAGATCGCATTTCGGAGACTTGGTAAATGTGGTTTTAGAATGACAGTTGTTCGTCAGTAGTCACTTAGGGAATACACCGGAATGGACGCCAGTTAAAAAAAAATATGCCCATCCACACTAGTTGCGCCCCATTTAAATCATTAAACACACGTTCGCGTGCGGACGCGTGTGTTACCTGACTGTTGCGCCTCTGATGACAGACCTACCTGCCTTGTTATGTATTTTATTGCGGGGGGCGCAAATGTTTAATGCTGGCGCTATACCAGTAAATGATTCACTGGTTATGTGCCGCTCCCTCATGTACACATTTCTGTTCTATCAGATACCCCAATGTACACGCAGTTGTTTGTAGATGTCAGTGAATTTACCATACAGAAACTGAAACTGAGCTTGTAAACCAGCGGCCACATGGCATATAAAGTTGTGTTAAGTGTTTTACCAGGTGTAACCATCATCTGGTGAGGCGGCTTGCTCGCAGTCTAGTGTTGGAAGACAGCCGCAGTTTGCCTTCACATTATACTGGCGTGAGGACTCTAAAGGATTAGTCAGAGTGCTGGAAGTGGAAAAAGTGTTGCTTGCACTTCTATTTGGGGGGGAAATGGCTGGTTTGCCTTGATTGGTATTTGCCATTGAATGTGTGGCATGACTACAGAAAAAAAAAAAGTTTCCCCTGCACAAAACCTCGTGGGCACCTGTGTGCTTTAAATGCAGATGGGATGTTGTCTTTGTAAAGACAAACCAGACAGTCAAGCAGCAGCAAGAGGGTGTGACGTGTGTGGGCCGCCCCTCGCACACTAGTAGCTGTGTGTTCGTGAAACAGGTTTGCCCACTTTTTGTGCCATCAGCACTAAAACGGGTGCCTTCACTCTTGGCTTGCTGCTCGTTTTCACTTTTCTGTACTTAGCGCACATTTTCTGGTAAGTCTTTTACCCGCATTGTGCGAGGGGACCTTGTTTAAAGTGAATATTTCAATTACATGTTATCGGATTATGTGGGACAGGAGAAGTGAACTATAAAACACTTTTCGTCAATGGACGCTACAGCTTCGTGTTTGCTTTCAAAACTTAGCTTGTAGCAGACGTGTGCACATTTTCAGCATGACGTCTCTGATCCACCGGTGAAAGGACACTTTGATCCTCTCCTCTTTCATCTATAACTGCTTCAGACAACAAAGTGTATGCAGAAAAGTGGTGAAGATTGCACGACTGTCTTGTGTCCTATGTGTTGTGTTGTTTTTATTTTGACTTCAAAATGGCGCCGCGAGAGTGGCTGGCTTTCCAGCAGCTCCTATATTTTGCTGTTCTACTTCTTCCTTTCATAACTTTGCTGCTGTGAATTGGGAATTTCTCCATTGCGAGACTAATAAAGGTTTTCTTATCTTATCTTATCTTATCTGATGGGCTAGTGTGTCCCCTTTGAATGGGGGCTCTTCCCATTCATTGCCCAATTTGTTAATCGTCCTGCAATTGATCGGAGGTAATATAGGTTATACTCACTCTGCCTTTCATTTGAATTCATCTGGATAGGCTGCAGCCCCTCTCGTGGTCCTAAATGGGGTAAGCGATATAGAAAATGGACAAACAATGTTTGTTTCATCTGCCGGGAGGTGATGTATGGGCTACAGTCCAAGAACATCTCCCAAAAGGCACAGAATGAACCAATACCAAGGATTGCACTGGCGAAGAAATAGTATTTGTACAGATCATATCTAAGGTGCGTTGGTTTGTCTGTGGTTGAAAAGGCCGCCTTGATTCCAAACTTTTCCAACCCGTCCAGCAACATTCCTAAGTGACGGCTGTTGAGAAGCTGTGCTCTTTTACTTCACCACACCTACATCTTTTCATTGACTGTTAAGTAGTGACCTTCACGAAGCAAGTTGTTCCAGTCACAAAAGGTGAGCCGGTCATTTGAATATTGAGATTTGTCTTCGGCCTCTTTAATCAAGTGGCAAAACCGCGCCCTGCTTGAAGCCATCGTTGGCGCGAGTTCTGTTTTGCTTCCTCATGCAGCAGTTGTGTGACAGTGACAATTCACCTGTCAATGAATGTGGCTGGGCCTATCTTTATCCATGCCCCATGAAGAGGAAGTGGCTCTGCATATACCGCATGCTCAAAAGATCGTGAATCACATTGCCTCACGTGCACAGGCGGTTGGGCCCGACAGTTAAAATCTATTGTGCCGGGCGTGTCTGCGCACTACTCCACTTAATCAAATCATCGGGAAGCGAGTCTCCTAGATCCACCTCCAGCCGTTGTAATCACACGGCGTGGATGAATAAAAACCTGAACACCGTCATAACATTGTTTTCAGTTTTAGTGCCACATACGGCCCATTGTAGTATCATCCAGCGAGCCTTTTTGTACCTTTTGTATATGTTGTTTGCTCGTCTGTCTCAGACTTGCTTGATAACTGGTTTCCCAACTGTACCCAACTAAAGGAAAATAATGGAAGGAGGTTGTTCCTCACTATTACGTCACAGTTTTACCCATAATGGGGAGAAAGAAGGATGTCTCTGTTGATGAACAGCACTGAATAGTGCCTTGCAAAAGACAGTTCAAGAAGTCATTGTACTGTTGTATAATTTCTGTTGGTAAAGCTAAAGTACGTTCGTGAGTGATATCCAAGTAAACAAACAAAAAAAATGTATCTCCCCAACTCTGAAGAACGCAAGACGTAAATCAAAACATCATTTGAAAATCCTCCATAAAAGCCAACTGCCAATGCTCCAGCTGTCCGAAATGACAACTGCCTTTTTTTTCACTGCCTGACTCACATTTAAGGCCATGGTTTCATGCGGCGATTACAAACGCTCTTTTCTTTTCTGCCACCAGCGTCGCGTCTCACATTTGTCCGTCGCCATCTGCGGGCCCCGCTCTGTGTACTTAACCCCTCTTCTGTTTCCACTCAGCCTCTGTCGAGGGTGTGTGACAAGGGGCCGGCAAATGAGGTAATGTGTGTCGGCCCTTGTTGCGGCCGCAGACGCATTTCACATCCTTCTGGAGAGGTTAAATATAGTAGCGCGGTTATTTTCCCCTAATGGAGCTCGGTTGGTTCTTGCCCAGATATAGTAACATTTTGCAGAAGAAAAACATTCTCTTTTTTTTTTTTCAGAGTCACATTTTAAGTTTGACTGTTACAGTTGACTTTATTCTTAAATGTCAGCAGACTTATCTCGATGATTGTTGGGCTAATCTCTTGAGGCCACATGGCTGCTGTTCATCAGCTTTCATCAAGACTGTTAATGGTTTTCACTCGTGGAAGAGGGAAGTTTAGTTATTGAGTTCATTGTTTGCCAAAGAGAAACGTAAGACTCTGCAAAACCAACATTTCTGCGGTTATATCGTTGCCTGGTATTTCTGACTAAGATGTCCTGAAACTCACCAGTCTGGATTTCAAATCAGGAAACAAGAACTCCTTTTTTTTTTTCTGTCTGGAAAATCTGCCGCTTGTCGCTGCCGTTTTAGCTTCATCTTTGCTTTGTGTGAACATTTGTGTTCGCGAGGAATGCCACCACACCGGTTTGGACTTGGAGAAGCATCACGCCCTTCTCGCAGGAAAGCCCAAACTGCACAAGGCCCCCTGTGCATTCCTTGGCTTTTGCAGTCTCCAAGTAGTTTGGGAACACTGTTGGGGGAAAGCAAAATACAATGTTTCAGGGGAGTTTGGCTGACTTGCGTCATGTTACTGGATCTTTTCACACTGTTTTGTGGCCGCAGGGCTTTTGCATGCTGACTGCCCCAACAAAAGGGAGTCAAAATATTCATCATCATTTTTCAGTTTGCTTGTGTTTCTTTGCCAAACTGAAACAATTTTTTTTTAAAGCGTTTTATTGATTTTTTTTTTGATCAAAAGTTAAGGTTGGTTTGTGATCAGAGCGGCCTTTAAGTTGTAGCTGCAAACATCTACTTAGTGATGTTTTGTCTTTTTGTTTAATTTTTGTTCTCGTTGCAGGCCCACCTTTCGCTGACTGACCATCCTCAGGTCAATCACAGAAAAATGTCTGGCAAAATATCAAATGAGGAACTGGAGGACATGCAGGAGATATTTAGGAAGATTGGTGAGTAGAGAAGTGTCGCGCATGAATTATGATTGTTGTCCCTTTTTTTTTTTTTTTGTGCGCAATATTTAGTGTTAAAAATCTCTTCTGTTGCTGCAGATCTGGACCACGATGGTTTCATCAATGATTATGAACTCACCGAAGTCCTGAAAGAGACTGGCCTTCCGCAGCCAGGTTACAAGATCAGAGATATGATCAAGAAACTGGATCGCGATGACGACAGCAAGATCAGCTTCAAAGAGTTCCTTGCGGTAAGCCGAGTTATGTCTGGAGCGGCTTGTTACCCCTCAATGGAAAGACCCTCACGAGTGGCACTGTGAAAATCCTCGATAAATTTATGATTATGTCCCACTTTAGTCACAAATATCCCGCACTCCACCTCCCGAAAAAACTTACTATCCTTTATCGTGATAAGTTTGTGGGACAATTATTGTCCTATGCCTACTGGTGGTGTCCTATTATTTTTTTTCCCTTAAGTATTAAATGGCAGAACGGCAGCAGGAATCACAGCTCAAATATGACTTGCTCTATCAATGATTGATAGTTCAAAGGGGGACGTTGGTTATAAATTATTAGAACGCTGCAATTTATGGATAACACGATTCAAGGATTTTGCCAATGATTTCAAAGCAAGTATTTAATAATGAGCACTGTATTTGGGAGGGGCAGCATCCGGCCGCCTCTGAGGTCACTGCTGAACACGGCGGTGCCATTGTGTTTGAGAGGAGTGCACACCGGCAGCAGGCTCTGATAGCGACCCATTTTTGCTCTCTCAGAGTAGCGACCCATTTTGTACTCTTGCAAACTATAGAAATTCACTTCCTGAATAATAAATCTGAATTGAATGATATAAACATAATCTAATGTTGGTTTTTTGTTCAGCAGTTTTGTGTCAGCCTTGAATGCTAATTTTTATGCAAGGGAGCCATTTGCACTGGGGAAAAAAAAAATGCAGTTTATGGTTATTTTGTTGTTTGCTTCAAACGCTTTGTTGACATTTCTTTTCCGAAAATGTTCAAATATGACTTGGGCAATGATGCTATTAGGCTAACAATGTACTTTTGGTCATGCTTTTTTTTTTTTTTTTTTTTTTTGTGATGTTGTGAAATGCAAATAAACTCTAAAATAATGTGCTTTGGCGCTGAACAGAATTTTGGAAACACAAGACTATTGTGCATTGGGCTCCCAACAGCAGTCTTGTGTGCCTGGTCATCAGTGGTGTAGCCATAACTTTTGTTTAGTGTCACATGACATCCCGGAATTAGGCTACATATCTTGTCGAATCAGCCTTCTCGGATGCTGCTCACATGCGCTCTTTTTGTGATTCATATCAAATCAATCCTTACAGTCACAGAAGCGTTTTCTGTTTTTTTTTTTTTGGACTTGAGTATTTGGAAAGTTAGTCAGAGCTGGGCTTGTGTGTCTAGCGTCTGCTTCCGCTTGATGTAGCTACTAACAAAATGTTATGCTGAGTCTATTTTGAGTCACAGTTTGACAAAAAAAAAATGATCACCTTCTACCTAAAAAGACAATGCAGAAGCTGCAACATTAGGCGTCTTTGTTAGGTTAGGTTGTCCCTCCCCCAGAACAGATGTGGCGTTCAGAAACATGTAGTTAATTTGGTGCCTCACGCTGTCGTCATGGCAATGATGAGACATTCCAACTATGCTGCTGCATCGGCCGACTGACCTTGGGTAGTGCTGGCTGGCTGACAACAAAGATTACAAAAAAATAAATAAATGATATACAGTGCTGTAGTGTAATAGTTGCAACAAGTGTGGCTGGCACAAATTCCATGGAAAGTGATTCAAAAACAATTCTTGTGGTCTAGCAGCTGTTAGATTGAGTCAGTGGACCAATTTATTTCCAATAAGCTAAATAAGTTGAGTCCAAACATTTTGTTTTTCCTGTTAGACCAAACTGAAAAGCAGACTCAACAACCTGCTCTTAAGAGCAGTACGCTTGGCTGTTCGTTGTTTTTTTTTTTGTTTTTTTGTGTCCTGGCTTAAAAAAATGTACGCCTGTAAAATGAAATGTATTTCAATTTGCTGAGTACAAATTTTCCCTTTGGTCTTGAAACAGATTGTGAACGAGCTGAAGGGCAGCGAAGTAGCAAAAACTTTCCGCAAAGTCATCAACAAAAAAGATGGCATCCTCGCCATTGGAGGCATGTCGGAGCTGTCAAGTGAAGGAACACAACACTCGTACTCCGGTAAGGACATTCTTATTAGCAATAGGTTTCATCTCCTCTGTTGTTAATGCCTATATTTGCCATCACTGTCAAACCAAATTGTATAGTACACCAATACTGTCGGTTTTTGCTTTCATGTGATGCCTCTTGATTCCATCTGCAACCCGGTCAGAGGAGGAACGATTCGCTTTTGCCAAGTGGATCAACAGCGCTCTGGAAAATGACCCTGACTGTCAACATGTCCTGCCCATGGATCTCAACACAGACTCTCTGTTCACATCCGTAGCTGACGGTATCTTACTCTGGTGAGACTTCCTCCTTTTCACTGCATGGCGGCAATTAAAAGTGTGGCCACACGGTAAATGTCAAATCAGTGTTTGATTTATCATTGCCTGTAAAATCTTTTTTTGGTGGGGGCGTATGCAAGTACTGTTACATAAAGCTTGGCAGCTGCAAAATACATGACCAGAACAGCAAATAGACATTACTCAATACAAACCGCAATTCCCTTTCCTATCCATACTGGCTTGAAGTCACCTCGTCAGGGTGTCTGTGATTTAATGCTTGGAAAAAAAAAAAATTTGTTGATTTATTTATTTTTTTATGATATGCAGCAAAATGATCAACCAATCAGTGCCAGACACCATTGACGAGAGGACCATAAACAAGAAGAAGCTCACACCCTTTACAGTACAGGTCAGTTAATCCTTCTTCCCTTCTGAAGTCTCAAACTCATTATTGCCACAGGCCGGGTTGTACGGTAGTTATTGGTTCCCATCAGAGGGCCATTATGGCTGTGAAAGCACGGAAAATGTATTTTTGCCTCATTGGATTATGACACTCACACAACAAATGGATGGCTAAATCATTTTGAAATTGCCGTGTGACTGACTGGCGATCTCGAGGTGATTAATTTGATAAACTGGGTACAGATTGCAGCCATAATCGGGAATCCGAGTTTGACACCTGTTTCACTATCACTGACCTTTAACAGGAGAATCTTAACTTGGCGTTGAACTCCGCCTCGGCCATCGGCTGCCACGTTGTCAACATCGGCGCTTTAGACTTGAAGGCTGGCAAACCCCACCTCGTGTTGGGCCTGCTGTGGCAGATCATCAAGATCGGGTTGTTTGCCGACATCGAGCTCAGCAGAAATGAAGGTAAAGGATATCATCACGTACACGGCAAGGTTTTTTTTTTTTTTTCTCTCTGTTGCTTACCCTCAATCATTGTCACCCCGTATGACAGCCTTGGCAGCGCTGCTGAGGGAGGGCGAAACCCTGGAGGACTTGATGAAGTTGTCCCCTGAAGAACTCCTGCTCCGCTGGGCTAACTTCCATCTGGAGAACGCCGGCTGGCAGAAGATCAACAACTTCAGCTCTGACATCAAGGTTGGCACGAACGCAAAAGGTCACTAACACAGATGTCGGTCTTATCGGCACACTGGGCCAAAACGATGTTTGCGTACGCAGACCTGTAATATCCGCCTGCACGTCCGCTAAAATCGGATTCGATTGGTTGTGAAAACCCCTCTAGTGTTCTTTGGCTCACGGCCAAAATGAATCGGTAAGCAAACCTGTGTAAGCAAGGATGATTGACGGCTCCGGAGAAGGCATTATCAGAATTTGTGGAATAGTATGTTATTCAGTATGTGCACAATACCATTGCATTAATAATACATATATTTCTGTCCAATTAAAAGCATTTTTTTAATCTGTTTTACTATCCCATTGATGCTATTCCGTTTATGTTAAGTGATTTGTAACATTGTGTCTATTAAATGACTGGCGATCAGTCCAGGGTGTACGACAACTCTCATTGTCACCAACGTGAAATATATCTTGACATATCTGAAAACGGCCGTGTTGTTTTTATGCGATTTTCCCCCAGGACTCAAGGGCTTACTTCCACCTCCTCAACCAGATCGCTCCAAAAGGTACAGAGGAAGACAAGCCGGCCATAGACATCAACATGTCGGGCTTCAGTGTAAGTGCAGCGCCGCAAAGCGTCGGTACCTCGCATGAACGAGTCTCTGATGAAAATGCCTGTGCGCCATGCAGGAGAGAGACGACATGAAGAGGGCGGAAGCTATGCTGACGCAGGCCGACCGGCTCGGCTGTCGACAGTTCGTCACTCCGGCTGATGTAGTCAGCGGCAACCCCAAACTTAATCTGGCCTTTGTGGCCAATCTGTTCAACAAATACCCTGCTCTGACCAAACCTGAGAACCAGGACATCGACTGGAACCTTCTGGAAGGTGAGTTTGGAGGGGGACGGTCAATGGATGCTATTAGACTTAAAAACCCATGTGACGATCTGTGATTTAACTGATGCACAAATTCAGATTTCCAGAAAGCCTCATCAATGCCATGATCCTTTTTTTTTTGTTTGTTTTGCCGTCTAGGTGAGACACGAGAGGAGCGGACATTTAGAAACTGGATGAACTCCCTGGGCGTGAACCCAACCGTCAATCATCTCTATGTGTAAGTACCACAACAACATCTTTACACTCGTAATGGTAGGCCTGGAATATGTTTCTCTTGAGTAGTTTCACCGTTCAAAATGAACCTACAATGTTGTTTTACAGAGACCTGCAAGATGCCATTATCATCCTGCAGCTCTACGAGAAGATTAAAGTAGAGGTTGACTGGAACAACAAAGTCAACAGGCCTCCATACCCTAAGCTGGGAGTCAACATGAAGAAGGTCAATGTCGATTTCTTTTTTTTTTTAAAGGCGCTCATCCACGACTCATGCTCACGTGTTGGTCTTGAATGCCTTCATCCATCCAGTTGGAGAACTGCAACTACGCCGTGGAACTCGGCAAAATGTCCAAGTTCTCCCTGGTCGGCATCGGCGGGACGGACTTGAACGACGGCAATGCGACGCTCACCCTGGCGCTGGTGTGGCAGCTCATGAGAAGGTAAAAAAATGAAGAAATAAAGAAAAATCAATTGCATTATTGCTCACCAAGCACATTGACAATGTGAGCGCAAACCGGGCGCATGAGCTCACGTCACCTCGTGTGTCACAAAGACCCGACTGTTGACATTGTTATTGCTACTGTGAACTTAATAGTTTTTTTCCTTGCTGATAACATGGAAATTGTAGTATACATTGAAACCTCCGATTTGCCTGTGCATTGTAAAAACCGACAAAAAAAGAATGGCTTTAAATCTGTGATCACAGTGAAGGCTGAATTAGGAACGGCTATGTCTGTATAAAGAAGAGGTGAAATTGATTCGATGAAAATAATAAATAGGCCCAGGTAACATGCAGCCTGTGTTGTGTTGCAGGTACACTCTTAATGTACTGGCGGAACTGGGTGGTGGGGAGAAGGTCAATGATGACATCATTGTCAGATGGGTCAACAAAACATTGGCAGAAGCTGGAAAGAAGACCAAGATTTCAAGCTTTAAGGTAAACCTTTTTTCAATGTATTTTTTTTTTTTTTTTTTTGGTGACATAATAGGTTAAATCACCAAATTGTGCTTTTCTGTGTACGGTGACAAGGACAAGGAGATCAGCAACAGTCTGGCAGTACTGGAGCTGATCGACGCGATTCAGCCCGGCAGCATCAACGCTGACCTGGTGAAAACGGGACACCTATCTGAAGATGACAAGCTGGAGAATGCCAAGTATGCTTTTTTTTTTTGTTTGTTTTGTCTGTTAAATGTACCGTGGACCTGTCTCTGTTCTAAACCCACACGCAACCGGGTGAAATTTTTAACACACACACTTTCAAACCAGCAAAAGAGCAAGTCTTGCGGTCGCAAAGCAATTTTCCCAATGCTCTCTGTTTCTCCAGATATGCCATTTCCATGGCGAGAAAGATTGGAGCACGTGTCTACGCCCTCCCCGAGGACCTTGTGGAGGTCAAGCCCAAAATGGTGATGACTGTCTTTGCGTGCCTGATGGGTCGAGGGATGAAGCGAGTCTAAAGAAGACTGGCTGTGATCATTTGTGACACTTGCTGCCACCCGCACGACAGCCATCTTTTTGGAACATCCCCTTTTTCCCCAGCCCAGCCCCGCATCGCCGCCTGAAGGATTATCGTGAAGAAGATTGAAAACGCATCAAATTGCAGGTATCGCTGCCTTTTCGGAAGACTGGAGGTTTCATGAAGAACGACGTGCTCTTGTTTAAAAATGCCATACTCGCATTTTGTTGGATGTTAAGCTTGTTTGTTGTTTGTTGGATGTAAGGATGTTGTTGGATAAGCATGTTAGAATCTCGTTTTTCCTAAAGCATCTATGCATAATTCCAGCTCAAAGGTTTACGCGTTGTTTACTGCCACCGATGTCCACACGTTCCTCAGTTAGTGTTAGAAGGACGAGAGGAAGTTGGTGACGCATGCTTCAGAAAGACCCCGCAACATTCATGCATGCCTCATCCACTTCTTTACATATCAGTACACAGACGACATGCGGTCAAAACTATAGTGACGACCACTCTTGTATATGCTGTCCGTATTTTTGTACGTTGTGTATTTTTGTGGGACCATAAAGTGAGGTAATATGATAGTCAGAGAGCTGGGCTTCTGTTATGTTATTGTATTTTGTTGTGTCCAATGACAAGCAGGTGATCAGGGTTCTCCGATGTGCCGTCTTGTCTCCAAGACAAACCTTTTACTGGAAGTGTTGAGCTTTTGCCTTTTCTTGAATTCAATCGTTACCAAATGTTAAATGAAACCTCTACTCCCCACGATGGCCGAATTGTATTTGGCCGTCGGGGTCATGTCTACTCCAAAGTGCTTCTTCACTTGTAACAATAAATATGACTTTGAAAACTTGAAGGGTTGCTGTTTTTGTAAATTTTTTTTTGAAAATTAATCCAATCCCAATTGTAGATCTTGGATCAACACGGGAATGCTGTTACTTTTGTGATGCATCACCCTACCATAGAGCACTGGTGTCTAAAGTCAAGGCCCGGGGGCCAGATCTGGCCCGCCACATCATTTTATGTGGCCCGCGAAAGCAAATCATCTGTGTCAACTTCCATGATCCTTGCTGAAATATGTACCGAAATCTCAAATTGCCATACGTAATAAATAACGGCGACATTTTGCAATAATTCTGTTGCCCTGTTTACACTCACTTGAGCAATAATTGAACAAATACTTGACTGATTTCAAAACTAGTGAGCCATCATTTTTTGTATATAAGTGATGTGATGATTAAACATTTATTCGGTTTCACTGTCTTAACGGCCCTCCGAAGGAAGACGTAACTCCAAAGTGGCCCACGACAAAAATGAATTTGACACCCCTGCCATAGAGGGATAGCACATTGCTCACAAACAGTACCTGAATAAAACTGAGTGATTTAAAAAAAAAAAAAATGGGGGGGTGCACAAAATGAGTTCTCGCATTTGATTTCAGATTACTGTTCATGAGGGTTTAAAAAAAAATTTATGCACACCGGGGAAATCACTGTTTTTTTTCGATTGTTCAAACACATTGATGTTGAAGGCCCGAAATATGATGTTCCATACCGTACATTGGATCAGTGAAAAAACAAAACATGCATTTTTTTTTGGTCCATATTAGAGACATTTTGTTATATAACCGGTTAGGAAGGGCATGGGCCTATGAAGGCCCCCCAGTAGCACTGATGGGAAAAAAAATTACATTTAAGTTCCCATGCCAATTCTACAGAAACACAGAGTGTCCCCGCTGTTAGCAGAAGCAACAAGTTCCTTTTTGTTCCTGTTTATTGCACCGTTCCCCGGAGTGGCAGTGACATTTTATGATCATTGCCTCATTACAGCTTCCGTTTCTTTTTATTGCTGCCTACTTCGACGGTCCTGTTTATTGTTGTAGCCCTTTGTGGGTTGATACTGTACGTATTTTTCCGAGTTTTTTTTTAAACCACACTTTATTTCCATTGCCACAGGAGAAAATACATGATTTAAAGGTGGTTTTAGTGTATGTTTAATTGTAGGTGACACTATGCTTTATTAGTCAAAAAGTTGTTTGTTTTCAATACACAAAGGAAGAGTGGTGACAGATTGACGTGTATACAGTTCAGTGGCCTGAGTGTCAGGCAGACATGAAGTCCTTTGGGCTTTACTCCCTGCAGGCCTGTACAATTTTTTTTTCTTGTGGGGGAATCATTTAACGCATTTTGTTTCAGCTGAATGGCAAGAAAACTAGACGTCGTCTCCTGTGGTTTCCATCTTTTGTGTTTCAAGCTTCATTGAAAAGAAAAACTGCCTTCACTTTAGATGCTTTGCCTTCCATTTTTTTTAATTAGTCTCCTTTCCGATAAGTTTGTGCTTTTTTTCAGTTCACCTTGAAATGTCTGCAGGCATTTCTCACTTTCTCCAGCACATCAAGAAAGATGGTCAGACTCACTGTATTCTCCATTACGGTATATTTGTTTCTCAAAGATGTTGTCTTTGGAGTGAATCGTTGCTATTTGATCGACGTGAAACGCACGTTCCTGTCCACAAACTCGACGTTCTGTGAAACGTTCTGAGTTTCAACCTGCTCTGTCTCTCTCCACCTTGTGCAATTTTCCCCGCCCTTCATCGGCTGCCGCACCTCTTCCGCCAACCTTCCTGCCTCTGTGTCAAGTGGACGCACTCCTAAACAGGAGGAGGAGGTCAGGTTATGTTACGTGATTGCATTCATCGGATTTAATTTCGCTGCTGCATCCCTTACTACAATCAGACATGGAGTGAGTCGTGTCTTGTGTGAGGACACTGTGGGGATGTTAGTGGACTAATATAAAGTGATCAAAGGTAGGAACAACTCGGTATGATTCTCTGTATTTTCTCATTTTTCTTTGAAATTCGCATGGCTACGTTTTATAATGGTATTTTGGCATTTTATTGTGCAGATTTCGAAGGAAATATCTTTTTTGCTGTGGATCGAATAGAGATGAAATGACAGAAAAAAAATATATTTTTCTGTTGATTTGCACTGAACTGTAACTTTTGCATGTATAAAACAGACTATTTTAAGCATTTTTTAAGGGGGGATCAAATAGGGTATTGCCATCTTTATTATTATTTTGTATTCAACTATTCTTTGGCACTTAGTTTAAAAAAAAAAAACCAAAAAAAAAAAACCTGAATATGTCCATCCATCGATTCTAAACCAAAATGTAATTAATTCTGAATGAATGCACCGTTGTTGGGGAAGCTTTGATTACGCTGCATTTAATTTGTCTATTTGGGAATTTTTTGCTTGCTAGTTAATCACTTAGTCTAATTGATGAATGGAACACTTTTTTTGCCTCTTTGCTTGGAGCAAAATGTGAGTTTTCCTACATTTAGGAGGCCATGCTGTTATTTCATCTGTACAAGTCATTAAACAGAGCGGTGATGCAGCGTAGGTGACAGACACACACAGTCCGCTGGTTACCAAAGTGACACAGGCCACATGGGAGAGCAGCTGATTTGCTCTCAGAGCTTCAAGACGCCTCCGTGTGTTTTCATTAATGATCCTCCAATTAGTCACACGGTGGTAACAGTCAACTAAATACCTCTCAGAGCTTCCGAGCCTGCATAGGGCCACCGTCTTGTCCGGTCGCTCATCCTCACAAGGCTGCGAGCGGCTGCTTTCCATTTTAAGTTGGGGCCCACGGTCCCCTGACTGGAGCCTGACGTACACACCATAAACTAGCAACACGGGTCCATGCCTGTCATCACGTGAGCAGTCTTGCATTGAGTGTGTGTGTGTGTGTGTGTGGTGACATCACGAGAGGTACACAAGGGCTTACTGTCAAAGTTGCTACTTAGCTTTGAGGAAACAAAAGTTCAAGGTGGCTGTCATTTTGCTGTGTGGCATCGGCTTCTGCAAAAAATGCAACGTCCCTCTACTATAGATCTCAGTGTGATGCCAAAGTGCGTATTTGTACCTACTTCGGGCAGGGATGAAGATGACGGGCCACACGCCTGAGAGAGATCGGTCGCCCCACACCCTGTCAGTCAAGCCCAGTTTGGAGGAGGAGATTGAGAGGGCCGAGAGTATTCTAAGCAGGTGAGAAGATTTAAAAAGTGTATTAAGGTCTTATCATGAGCCACCATACAATTGAAGAAGAAATGTTTTCTTATAAATAATACTACTTATCCTCATCGGGGTCACAGGGAGTACACTCTGAACAGTGCCAATAAGTGCACGAACTTAAGGCGAACACATGATGCTGGACGTCATCAACAACAAGTAGCTCTATGTGGCAGCGTGAACACTTTAAGCAACGGACATTTGTATACAAATGTTGCAGCAACATATGTAGACAAACAGGCATATTTTCTTTATCCTCTGAAAAAAAGACTATTCGCCTACTGCAGTGTAATGAATCACTCCCAGTTGTTGTGAAACTCTTAGTGTCAAGAAACTAATCGCGGGACTGACATTTCTTCTCTTCAGCATCTTGAACTGTAGTGTGACTTTTGGCTTTACCTTGTCAAGTGTCGCCACAGGGAGAAGCGCATGATTTGTTTGGCGGAGTGTAATGTTTCGTATTGGTAAGTTTTCTGACCTACGTTCCAGGGTTCCATCCATCTGCGACGACACGTCCTCGGAGCTCCAAAGGGTCGCTGCTCTCGACCCTCACGGCGGCAACTCCAGAAACTCTTTTCAAAGGCACGGAGCAGTCTCGAGGTAAAAACACACAACAGACAACATAGGTCAGCCAAATCCGGTATTTCCGTTCTTTAAGGTGGACTAAATTGAACTCAACTCGGCACTTTGACAGCAACCGCGACTGTAACCAATATACACAAAACATGAAAGACAACAAGTAAAATAATCATAATACAATCATAAATAACGAATTCAAGTATTCATTCCTAATTAAAATGTGCAAGACCAACCTTTAGCCTGGCCTCTACCGTTCAGGAGGTGCCAAGTTTCATTCCCTCCGGTTGCGCATGTTGTGTGAAGCTGTTACTAGATGAGCAAGAGGAGCAAGGCTGAGGTTTCCAAAACTAATATGAGGGCACCGGGATCACATCACAGATGTTGATGTTAAATGTAGTTACCGCAGGCACCCCTAAAATGATACATTTTTAAATATCAATATCCAAGACCTGTTGAATAGAAAAGAACTTCACCAAAATAACTGCCTCACTTGTGTAATGCTCCGAGTCCCACGACAAATGCTACGAATGTCCACTCCTGCCGCATGTCAGACTGGTCAGCCTGGTGGTGAGACTGAGAGAATGGGCTCACAGGAGCTTGATCCAGGAGCAGGAGAGACCGGACTCCTTCCTGGAACGCTTCAGAGGGCCGGAGCTGCGAAACGCCCCCAGCCGCACAAGCAACATGCAAACGGATGCCAATGGCAATCATGCCAAAGGGGTCCTGAGGTATGTCACAAAACGTAGCAATGCACTTGGTGGGAACACCGCGGTTGCTTTTGTTTCCATGTGCCCTGTGATTTCCTGGCAAGGGTGTACCCAGCCTCTTGCGTAAGTTCGGTTGGAAGGATAGATGATAATTTGAATGTGAAACCAAGGACATGAGAAGAAGGAATTGACTTTGATTCTTTTGTCTGCGTCGCTTTCAACTGTTTCCAATAACATTGAATTTGCCTGAAGGAAAAAATGGGACGTTTTTGTGGTGTCTCCATCCGACGACGCCTACTACCGCTGGTTATTCGTCATCGCGGCAGCGGTGCTCTACAACTGGTTCCTTGTTGTGGCCAGGTAATAACAGACAAAACAGATTGAGGGATGAAAATACAGAATGGTTGTATTGCAATGATTTTTTTTTTTTTATATTTGAATCCACAGGGCATGTTTTGATAGATTGCAGGTGGCCAATTACATCTGCTGGCTGGTGCTGGACTACCTCTCCGACATGGTGTACATCATGGACACGTGTGTACGGCTTCGCACAGGTGACATGTTTTTAAATGTATAAATGAAGCTCAAGTACTGCATCAGCTCCGAATGTGAGCGCTTGTTTGTTTCTCCAAATGTGCCCGGATCCAGGTATGTCACAAAACGTAGCAATGCACTTGGTGGGAACACCGCGGTTGCTTTTGTTTCCATGTGCCCTGTGATTTCCTGGCAAGGGTGTACCCAGCCTCTTGCGTAAGTTCGGTTGGAAGGATAGATGATAATTTGAATGTGAAACCAAGGACATGAGAAGAAGGAATTGACTTTGATTCTTTTGTCTGCGTCGCTTTCAACTGTTTCCAATAACATTGAATTTGCCTGAAGGAAAAAATGGGACGTTTTTGTGGTGTCTCCATCCGACGACGCCTACTACCGCTGGTTATTCGTCATCGCGGCAGCGGTGCTCTACAACTGGTTCCTTGTTGTGGCCAGGTAATAACAGACAAAACAGATTGAGGGATGAAAATACAGAATGGTTGTATTGCAATGATTTTTTTTTTTTATATTTGAATCCACAGGGCATGTTTTGATAGATTGCAGGTGGCCAATTACATCTGCTGGCTGGTGCTGGACTACCTCTCCGACATGGTGTACATCATGGACACGTGTGTACGGCTTCGCACAGGTGACATGTTTTTAAATGTATAAATGAAGCTCAAGTACTGCATCAGCTCCGAATGTGAGCGCTTGTTTGTTTGTCCAAATGTGCCCGGATCCGAGATGTAACCCACCTCTCGCCCAAAGTCAGCCGGGACAACATTGCGCAATACATTTGTACACATTTTTGCTGTTTGCTCGGCAGGCTTCCTGGAGCAAGGCCTATTGGTGAAGGACCACGCCAAGCTCAGGGACGGCTACGTGCGCACGTTACAATTCAAGCTGGACGTGGTGTCCATCCTGCCTACCGACCTGGCCTACTTCTCCACCGGCATCCACACGCCTCAGCTCAGGTTCAACCGCCTGCTGCGCTTCCCGCGGATGTTCGAGTTCTTCGACCGCACCGAGACACGCACCGACTACCCCAACATCTTCCGCATCTGCAACTTGGTGCTCTACATTCTGGTCATCATTCACTGGAATGCCTGCATCTATTATGCCATATCCAAGTCTTTAGGGTTGGGCTCAGACACTTGGGTGTTCCCAAACATCTCCAAAACTGAGTATTCCTCTCTAACTCAGAGTTACGTATACTGTCTGTACTGGTCCACGCTCACCCTCACCACAATTGGAGAGATGCCGGCACCAGTGCGAGATGAAGAGTACCTTTTTGTGGTGTTTGATTTCCTCGTCGGAGTCCTGATCTTTGCCACGATTGTAGGAAACGTCGGTTCGATGATAGCCAACATGAACGCCACCCGTGCCGAGTTCCAGGCTCGGATTGACGCCATCAAGCATTACATGCACTTCCGCAAAGTCAGCAGGGAACTGGAGACTCGCGTCATCAAGTGGTTCGACTACCTCTGGACCAACAAGAAAGCTGTGGACGAGCAAGAGGTGCTCAAGAACCTGCCCAACAAACTGCGAGCCGAGATCGCTATCAACGTCCACCTGGAGACCTTGAAGAAGGTACGCATCTTTCAAGACTGCGAGGCGGGACTGCTGGTGGAGCTCGTGCTCAAATTACGCCCCCAGGTCTTCAGTCCGGGAGACTACATCTGCAGGAAAGGTGACATCGGGAAGGAGATGTATATCATCAAAGAGGGCAAGCTGGCTGTGGTGGGAGACGACGGGGTGACGCAATACGCTCTCCTCATTGCCGGCAGCTGCTTTGGAGAAATCAGCATTTTGAATATAAAAGGGAGCAAAATGGGCAACCGTCGAACCGCCAACATTCGCAGCCTGGGATACTCGGATCTGTTCTGCCTCTCAAAGGACGACTTGATGGAAGCCGTGACGGAGTATCCGGACGCTAGGACGGTTCTGGAGGAGAGGGGCCGCGAGATCCTGATCAAGGAGGGTATGCTGGAGCACGACGCCGAGAGCGGCGGCCTGCAGAGGGAAGACACGGAAGAGAAGGTGGAGAGGCTGGAGTCTTCCCTGGACAGCCTCCAGACTCGCTTTTCACGCCTGCTCAACGAGTACGCGCACACTCAGCAGAGGCTGAAGCAACGCATCACACTGCTGGAGCGGCGGATGAATCAGACGGACTGCGGGGCGGAGGCGAGCCATGACAGTCAGTGATGCGAAACCTCGGCCCTCCCTCCACGTAGATGACGCTTCTCTTCGGAATACGGTGGTGCCTTGACTTACAAGTGCCCTAACCAACGGGTTTTCCGAATTATGAGCCGTTGCTTGGTCAACGAGGCAATTGAGGTACAGTAATGCCCTTGCAAGTGGGCAAGGGGAGACAACGTTCGATGCACTTTTGACAATTTTTGAACATGGCAACCAAACACGCACTCGAGTGCGTTTGGGAAAACAAACCAGCATTTTTCAGTGCGCACAATTACAAATTGAGAGGACTCACAAGGAGCTGCTCTAATTGCAACTCACAAGCAGACTGACTCAATCTCCTGATGTTTGTCACTAGGCCACGCCCCTCAAGGCACATACGAATACATCACTACAATATGTACAGAAATGATACTTTATAAAGATAGCTTTTTGTTTTTAAATAAATTGACTGTTTTTATCCACCGCAGTGCTAGTCTTCTTGATTAAAAACGCAATTGTGGTGTTTTATTGAGGTTGTGTAATGGATTGTCATTCAAAACCCCAAATTAATATTATCCTTCGTCATGTGCACAACACGTGTACAATAAGTTGTCAGCATCTTCGTGTGTAAACACCTCTTGTTGTCAGCTGAGGGATTTTGATCAAGACAAGCGGTGCTCCGGCCCCGAACGTCTCACCTCTTGCCGGCCCTCCTGGGAACAAAGTCCAAGGAGAGATGCTGGAAGGCCACTTGTTGAGTTCACAAACATAATTATCTTTCCAGGTCAGACCTACAACACAAACGCCATAAAGCTCTGGCTCAATCGAGTGATCATTTTTTTCTGACATTTCTTACTCTACAACTCGTGATGATGCGAAAGGTTAATTAACCCACCTTGGCATGTTATGGGTCAAATTGATCTATTTAATAAATAACTCAAAAAGAAGCAGTGGAAGGTATGATTTGGTATAAACAGAACACTGCTCATCACTTAAACAACAGCATACAACTACCTTGATGGTGGCAGCGTCATACTATTGTTCTGGGTTTTTTTTTCAGCAGTTGTACCTGTGGAGGCAATTATGAACAGTTCAAAATACCAGTCAACGTTTGCATAAAACCTTCAGGCGTCTGATAGAAAAAGGAGGGTTAATAAAACAAAGGGCATGATGTTTGCGTTGCGCATGGCGTTTTGTTGTCGTAGTCTATTAGAATTTCCCTCGCTGAACAAAACGGCTTGGGGAATTTCCATTGGGCTCAGCCTTGGCATTCCAGGATGCCTGTCAGCCTCACAAGTGGTGGCGATAAGCACAGCTGGAACAATGCAAAAGTCGGCAGCAGCCAAGAAGTAAAAGAGTGCATGGTCGCCGCACTCTGGAGGGGTTTGGTGGGACCGAAGATAAGGTGGATACAAAACGTCTACACATCGCTGTTCAAATGCAAGGGTCTTGTGACGTACAAAGATGAGGCCAAGAGGGGAAGTAAAACCTAAACTTACTCTTGGAAGTGGGATGTAACTGTGTTCAGAATCAACCAGTCACATTCCAACTCATTTGAAATGGGAGTGAGCACACATCTGCCGTCAATTAAAGTGCTTCTAATTACATTTCAGATGTTCTAGCAGGCCTCCCCCTCCCCTTGTCAAAATGCAACTGACTACTATTTGGCAATTTGGAACTGTTCATAATTCATTATTCCGATTTCAATAGAATCGTACGGGTCAAAGGTCACATGAATAAAGTTTTGTATGATTTTTCCTGGTCTCATTTCTTTATATCCCCAAAACCTGGTTTTTGAACAGGGGTGTGTAGACTTTTCATATCTCCTGGAACTCAAGTGACCCGTCAAAGAGCATAAACACTTTGGCAATAGATGACAGGTGGAGATACCGTCAGCGACACACAATTTTTTCATTCTTGGGCCTCGGTGTTAGATACACTGCTAGTAAATGTTCGTTTGTTTTTGGGGTTTTTTTTGGTTTGTTTTTTTTTGCAAAACTAGAATAATAAATAGAAAATATAATAACTAATTGACTTGCATTGAGCTGCACAGGAAGAAGGCACTTTACAGAAATAAATCACCATTGCTCATTTTTGATTGTCATTGTTTCCTTATTGCTTGGCATAACAAGTACTCAGTGTGGTAACATCATACAGGGA